CAATAGAGACCATTTCCCAGGCTCCAGTTCTCACAGTAAGAGCTGAGCTACACTCTTCCTGTATTGTGGATCTGAGGTGGCACATCTGAATGCCCCCAAAGCATAGAACACATAAAAAAACCTAGAACTAGAGACAAGGCTAGTTCTAGAACAACTCTTCTTCCTAATGTGCTAATTTTCTGTGTGGAGAAGAGGTTTTTATATGCCGAAAAATTAAAATATTAAGTCTACCAGTCAAATGATTCTGTTGATCCAAAAGCTCAGCTCTACAATCCTAACTCTCAAAACACTGGCAGTTGTGGTTTTATTTTTATAATCCTACCTTAGGGATATGAATATTCCCTTTCCTTTAATGGAGCACTGCAATATAGGATTAACACTTCAGTCCTATATACATTTACTAAGAAATAAACTCATTCTGCCCATTTTAGATAAACAAAGTTGGGCTGTGAGTGTATTATTAGGATCTGCAGTAGGAAACCACTGTGTTTCTATGGAAGAGAATTTCTGTTTGACTACTTGTTCTTTTTTATGAGTAGTGAGTTTACGGTAACCTTCAAGCAGTATTGTAACATTTTCCTAGGATATGATTAAATATCTGTATTAACGCTGCTGGTGCACCGATGTCCAAGGTTATTGCCGCACAAGTTCAAATAATTTCTAAACATCAATCACCTGCTGAAATAAATGTATTTTTAATACCCTGGCCAGATTTCTCCAATGTACTACATGACATGTAGCCATTAAAAATGTGAAATTGTAACTGTGTGAGAATGGCTGTGTTTTAAAGCCGCTTTACAAGACTGTAAAATCAGGATCAACATATTGGTAGTTGAAATACCCCAGAGGTCCCAGGGATGATAAGAGTGTGTTGCGTGACCATGAAGCTAGACGACATCCACCACCACCCCTCTCTCTCTCGTAAGCTTATGGGAGTCAAAGCTCCCTTCATCAGATACGAACCAGGGATGGGGATAAATAACAGCAGGGGAACAATCTTAAGTACAAGAGCCCTGTTCCTGTCATATAGAATGATAAATATATCCACTAGGAACAGGGTTGCCAGATCCCCCAGTGGAAATGGGGATCCCCTGCCACCAGGCACTCCCCCAGGAGCTGGCTGGTAGGGTGGGACTTATCTAGGGTTGCCAGCCTCCAGGTGGGGCCAGGAGTTCTCCCACTTTTACAACCGATCTCCAGCTGACAAAGATCCGCTCCCCTGAGGAAAATGGCTGCCTTCAAGGGTGGACTCTATGGCATTGTACCATTCTGAGGTCCCTCCTCTCCCCATACCCCACCTTCTCCCGGATCCACCTCCAAAGTCTCCAGGTATTTTCCAACCCAGACCTGGCAACCCTAGACTTATCAGGAGAAAGGAGAAGGCCTAGGCCTTGCTGTTGGGATTGCACAGGAAATTATGTCATCGTGCCAGCAGTGTATTGTCATGGATCAGCCAGAGCTGGCTGGTAAGTAGCAAAAGAGGGGCAACAGAGCAGGGCCCGACGCACAGTTGCCAGGTGATGATTGGTCCTCCAACGTCACCACCGCTCAACCGACAGAGGAGCTGCCGCCTGCAGACGATACTTCTATCAGGATCAACATATCATGCCAGCACAGAAGTCAGACAAAGCTTCCAGGGCTAGCTCACCTCCTGGATCCCCAGAGCTGCTGGAGCACAATCAGCAAAGGGTGCAACAAAAGTTGCTTGAGAGGAAGTGGAACGCACACCTAGCAGCCCAAAGACACCTGAAACTACCTAGCCTTGAGGAATGCCCACACACTGATCAAACGCAGCCTCTGACAAGATAGTTCTTTGTATACTGGAAATTAAACAACTGTCTATAGTTATACTCCAAAAAAAACCCCGCAGCCCAGCTGTGAGCCTAGCAGCTCGGACGTAAATGAGTTGAGGAAGACAGGCTAGTTGTGGAAGCAACAAGTCATCTTACCAATGACTGCCACCACTGAACTGGATCCTGTCATACTCCCATGACCTCGGATCAGCCTTGAATCTCTCACCTTGCACTGTATGACCCCTTGGACTGGCTCTTGGACTTGCCTGCACTAATTCCTGTAATAACTCTCCAACCTGGAGAGTCACACTGGCTTTGGACTCTGCTATCTGACTTGCTGCATGTCTATCCTGTCTTGCTCGACTTGGACACACCCTGACCCCAGCACCGACCCAGCAGGAACTGGACAGCTCAGTTGTAATTTCAGGAGATCTCCATGGCCCACATGGAGGTTGGCAAGCCTAATTGGTACCCTGAATATGTGTGTTTGTACATTCTGATTTTCAGGCAGAACAACTGTATGACAGATCTGATATCTCTATATGTGAACCCACCAGCTCTCAATCTTAAAACAAGACAGTCTCCACACATCATTTTACTGATTTGCTAGCAAAACAGGAGCTCCTGTGCCTTGAACAAATGAGGATATCACGGAGCATTTGGTCATATTCCTTGCTATCTGCACATCCCATCCTACTGTACCCTTGCCTGGGAGCTAAGCAGCAATTTTTGTGTGTGTGCGTGGCTGTATTAAAAGCTATAGAGCCATTTTTGTTCCACATATTACTTGCCAATTGAGCATGAATGTGATGATGAATAGACAGGGAGAGGCCCCAGCAAGACACAGTGCTTATCTTTGGGAAAGTATGGTGTGTGAGTTGCTCATTTGTTGCGAGATGCTATCTCGGTAATGTCACATTTCCTGTGCTTGTTTCTGTGATCTGCAACGCCTGGCCTTAATGTAATGTGTCAGTGCTTCCTTTCTTGAGTTTCATTATTAGTTAATGGTACAGTGCTATCTCACAATGACAACTCTGATGACAACTAAATTTAATGAACGGTGAATTAATCAGGCAAATGGCCATGAATCTGGATACTTTGTACGCCATTACAGCACTGTTGTCACTGGATGTTGGCTTCTCTCTGTTTTTGTGTGGGCAGCATTCAGCTCATTTATCAGCACAGAATGTAATTCAGGAAGTTAAAGCTTATTGATATCCCCATCACAGGGTCTCTGCAGAGTAACCAGCAATTCCTTTCCCAGCAGGGAGCCATAGTCAGTCTTGCTTAGTGTTGTTAAGGGGAACAGAATCCCCCCTTCACTTTTTTAGATATAGCCACTGATTCCTCTTAGTCTCTTTTTTCTCTTTTAAATGAGGGGTTTCTCTTTCATTTCACTTTGAAGAGAAACCAATGCACCCTGACCCTATTGTAACTTCAGCCCTTATAGTTCTTTTATGTTACAGATTCCAGGGTGGTGCTATAGTAGGAGGATAGGAAGGTCTGGGAAGACATAGCCTGTGTCTGAGTATCTACAGAGTGAAATTCTTGAATCCTGCAGAAACCCCCCCCTTCCTGCCCCTCCTCTTTTCAAAATTCTGTTTGACCAAAACAGAATGGATTAGAATCTGATTCCGAATTCCTGAAAAGAGTAAAAGAAATGGATTGTTGCAGAGATGTCAAAACTAATTTGTTATGAGGGCCAGATCTGAGATGAATGTCTGTCTGGCCAGGCCATGTGCGCCATAAAACAAATGCCAGGCAATACTCCCTCTAAACTATGGAGTCTTGTGAGTAAAACTTCTACTTTGTGAGCTGCTGGCATTAAAGTTGTGAGGGAGCCATTTGGATGCTGCATAAATCAGTTTGCTCTGGAGCCAGCCTTCCTGAGCTATGACAAAAATCTGTGAGCTGGAGGCTAAAAATCTGTGAGCTAGCTCACACTAACTCAGCTTAGAGAGAACACTGATGCCGGGTACCAGAGATATAAACTTTATAAAGGACAGGAGCTGTTAAGCTCTGAGTTGGTGTATCCTCACTTCAATACCCCATGGGCTGGGAGGGGGATGCAGAGGAAAACCCACATGAGTGGACTGGAGAGCCAGTGATACAACACTGGGCAGATGCTACCACGTCGCTTGACTGCTGAAGACGAGGTTGTTCCGCCATGCTGAAGCTACAATCGCAGTGGCTCTGCCCACTCACCCCCCCCCCAGCAGCCACCTGTTCCCTCCTTTGCCCTAGTTGCTCGTGGGCCACATAAGAGCCCTGGACAGGGTAGTTCTGATCCCCAGGTTTTTTGTTTTGACACCCTTGGCTTCTTGGATTTCAAGGAGAAATTGGAAGAGGAAATAAGAGACCAGTAGACCTAACAAGACAAGAAGAACCAAGGACATGATAGAATGCTAAGCCATGCCCTACACAGCAGTTGTTGTTGTTGTTGTTGTTGTTGTTGTTGTTGTTGTTGTTAGTCCCCATCCATAGTAAATCATGCTCCCTATTTTGTCCCTAATTTTGCTTTTAAGGAATTTTTTAAAAAATTATTTACTGCACTTACAATTTACCTTTCGCGCTGAGACTCAAGACAGATTTCAAAAATGACAAAAATTTAAAACCATACAATAAAAACTGTATCATAATACAATACACAGTGCAGTAAAACTGGGTTGCAAACTGTATTAAATACTGGGTTCTGAGTGCATTGCAGTGATCAGTTCTAGTTTATTTAGTAATTTCAGGAACACAACAAGGACACCCAGCAGGGTTTGAGCCCTGCTTATACCGCTTCCAGCCCTCATTCAGCCAGGAGGAGGCAGGAGAAGAGGGAGGGTAAGTTGCTTCCTCCCCGCCTCTCCCCACCCCTGCCTGCCTGGGGCCAGGGAGGGCCTTGGCGGGGCTTCCTCGCACTCCCGCTGGCCTTGCAGTTCCACCGCCGGGCCCCTGATGTCAGGGGGTGTGGCATATGCTAATGAGTTATGCTAATGAGTTCCCCTAGCTCTTTTTCTACGAATTGACCCCTGATAAAGCATGCATTTTGACTTTTAAATCAATGGAGACTCTCCACTGGAGAGTAAAGTGGTCCAGCAGAAACAATAGCAATTGTTGTGGGCTCTCCCATCCTCTGTTCCCATGACACCATCCGCTGGGTCTGAGGAGAACATCCTCTAAGCAAGGGCCACTGAGCTCTGACCCAGCCAGTGACGGTGAAGGAGGAGATAATACAGGAGACCTTCCAGCCCTATTTGCTCACTGTTTTCTATTAAACTGAATCTAACTCAAGGATAATGTTGCCTTTTCTCTTCTGTTTCCTACCTGCAGACCGAGTTTATGATGATAGGACTACTTATACAACTGTCAGGCCAAACATCCCACTGGATCAAGAACAACTAATCCTGTTACAGGAGGAGGTGAAAAGGGGGATAATTTCGGTGGATGAAGCCGTGGAGAAATTCAAACAATGGCAGAATCATAAAAGTCGATTAGAAGCCCCCCAGCAGGTAAAATTCTCAAGGTTGTTGTGAATGCTTTGGAATGGGCCATTATTTTCAATAAAGAAGTCAAGCAAGGGGGTAGAATTTCAAGTTTTAATCTACCTGTGGTAATTCAGTCTCTGAGGCTGGGTTATGAAGCTATTGTTACCCCTTATGAATGGTTCAAGCAGGAGAAAAGGTAAACCAGAGGGCTCCCAGACCATGCATAAAGTTCAAATTATCATGGGTTCCATACACTCCAGAGAACTGTGGGGCTTTCCCTTCCCACAAGTGACTATAGCAAACTTGTGCTGATGGTAGAAAGCAGCAGGAGCCCAGTAGCATCTTAAAGACTAAGAAATTTGTGGCTGGGTGTGAGCTTTCATGAGTCACTACTCACTTCTTCAGGGGTTGATGGATTTCCATTCTGTACAGCTAAATCTGGTGCCTTCCATGGAGATAGATCAAGATGGGTAGCCGTGTTAGTCTGTCTGTACCAGTAGAAAAGAGCAAGAGTCCGGTAGCACCTTAAAGACTAACAACATTTGTGGCAGGGTGTGAGCTTTCGTGAGTTACTGCTCACTTCTTCAGAACACAGTTCTTCGGATTGTGCTGACAATCACTGCTGAAGGTCTAGTCTCATCTGTATCCTAATAAATGTAGTTCCTGTGGAAGTGCACTTACCCTTTTACTTCAGGAGCACAGCTAGCTTCCTTGAAAGCCAGCATGGTGTAGCAGTTAAGAGGGGCAGACTCTAATCTGGAGAACCAGGCTGGATTTCCTGCTTCTCTGCATGAAGCCTCCTGGATGACCTTGGGCCAGTTCTCTCAAAACTCTCTCAGACCCACCTATCTCACAGCCTGCCTGTTGTGGAGAGAGAAAGGGGTTGTGATTGTAAACCACTTTGAGACTCCTGAAGGTAGAGAAAAACGGAGTATAAAAACCTGCTCTTCTTGATTCCTGTGAGGAGCATTAAAGGGGAAGGAGAAGTCTCCGTGGACAAGAAGGCTCCATGTGTAATGGAGTCTTCCACATCTACAAGGAATCCATCAGAATGAGTGCCTTTTAAACATTTGTATAAAGTATTTTTGTTCAGCATCTTAGAGCCGATTCCAGTAGCGGGCTCTTTTTGTAGCAGGTACTCCTTTGCATATTAAGCGACACACCCCTAATGTAGCCAATCCTCCAAGAGCTTACAGTAGCCCCTGTAAGAAGAGCTCTGTAAGCTCTTGGAGGATTGGCTACATTAGGGGTGTGTGGCCTAATATGCAAAGGAGCTCCTGCTACAAAAAGAGCCTGCACCATTCATATGAAATAGGAAATGAGGGAGAAAGCATACCTGCTATATATTTTGTACTAGCTTTGCTGGATTTATGCCCATTTGCTTTGAAAATTGCCTATTTAAAAATATATATATACATGGTCCATTGGGCTAGGAGCAGTCAGCACAGCCTTTATGTGAACTTCAGTCCATCTATTTATTCAAGCTATCCATTTATTATTGGGGGGGGGGCATTAACCATGTGCTTTGGGAATATTTCAAGCATTTCAGTAATTTTTCCTCTCTCTTGGATTTGACACTGAGAATGACCGGGGGTTTTAAAGCAAGTGGGATCATCTCTAAGGCAAGATTTAAACTGAAGGTCTTGCTACCTCACTGTCCTATGATGATGTTACAACCAGATCAGCCAAAGTATGCTTAACTGTGCAGTCATGTGCAGAATAAAGTCAACTGGAATCAGTGGACTTAGACTGGAGTAACTGGATGGCCCAGACTAATCAGATCTCATCAGATCTTGGGAAGCTGAGCAGGGTTGGCCTTGGTTAGTACTTGGAGGGGAAACCACCAAGGAAGCCCAGGATTGCCATGCAGAGACAGGCAACGACAAACCACCTCTGGACATCTCTTGCACTGAAATCCTTATGGGGTCACCGTATGTTAGGCTTGCCAAGTCCCGCCGGGGGGCGGGGAAACCCCCGCCCCAGAGGCCCATTCCCTGCCGCCGCCAGGTCGGGCCCCGGGGGGAACCCCACCCTGACGTGAACGTTACCTGGAAGTGACGCGACCACGCCGGGCATGCTGGGGGCGGGGCCACAGTCATCCGAGGGAAAACTCTATGCCAGGAGTCCAGGGAGTCCCCCGCTGCGGCAAAGATCGCACTTGGCAACCCTACCGTACGTCGGCTGTGACCTGGCAACACTTTCCACCACCAACTCTGCATCGGATTCTACTATAAAGAGTCTTTTAAATTCTACAATCCCAAATTCCAAGCCCTTCTGTATTTGTCGTGATTAACAGTTCAATCTTAAACAGAGCTGCATCCTTCAGTGTACTAAGAAGGATGTTACTTAGGATTGCATTATAGCGGCTTCACTGCCTGCTCGCAAGGAATGTTAGCTGGATCAGGGCCTATGTTGCTTTCCTTCAGAATTTGCCTGCCATGATTTCTGCACAAGATATAATTACATAAATCGCTGATTAAGAATTAATAATAACCTAAAGGTTGTTGCTGTGCTTCTTGTATCAACTGTAGTCCCTTTGGGTGGGTCTACTCTAGAATCCAATATACAAAGATGTTGCTAGTCTTTTTTTCTAAAGGTGATTTGTAGCGATTGCAGCAGAGCACAAGTAAAGGTGGCAGAATAACAAATGAGATGGCCGTTCCTGGTAGCCCATTACTGCTGGGCTGGTTATAAAATATCTTCTTTTGATTAAGGCGGTGCGGTTCAAGGCAAATGTTCTGGAATGATTGCCTCTAGTCTTGGGGAGTGGGTGGCAAGGGGTGGGGTGGAACTTCATGTGCTGTTGGAGGAAAACGTTCCACAAATCTTTTGGTATCAAAGACTGTGACTACAAATACACAAACGCACACACATACACAAACAAAAGGCGAGGGTTCTTTTTTGTTAAAAGTTTTTTTTAATTATTTCCTGTGCTAAGAAGCTTAAGCATTCAGAATACTAAAAGACTCACCTCCTCCAGCTCCTCATTCATTATTTTTAACAATCAACTCCAGCTATTGATTTTTGTGGTTGTTTGTGTGTTGGCTTCTTACTTAAGGAAAAAATGCGTCAGTGCCAAGACTCTATTACCAGAAAAACACCGGAGGAGGAAGACTTGCATGGTAAATCGTATTTAACTAGCATTTCAGTAGGCTGAAAAGGAGAACTATTGGATAAATACATAACTAATTGGTTTTGTGCCAAGTTGGGGGGGAGGACTTTGGGTATGTTTTGCTGTTTTATTTGCAATGGGGAATGGGTCTCTGCTACTGTTGCAACTTTTTAATATTCCACTTAAGCTGTTTGTTTTTTAATTGCTGTTTGTTTTTATTGGTTTAATTTAATATGAATATGTTGTTTTTGTTTTTGTTAATTGTAACCCACCCTGAATGCCTCTTTAAATTAGAAATTAGATGTAGTATTTGTTCTTGGCGATGAATAGGGTTGCCAGGCCCTTAGAACGTGCCAGTGGAGGGTGGGAGGGAGCTTTCCGGGAGGGGGGGGCGGAGCAACATTGCTGCATGTGACGTCCTTAACATGGTGATGTCATGTTGAAGTAACATCATCATGCTGGGGATGTTGCACAGCAATGCTCTGGTCTGGGGCCAAACTCAATGGTAAAATTGGGCTCATACCATAGAATTTTTTCCCAAAACTAGAGCATCGCCACGTGACATCCCCGGTGTGATGACATCACTTCTGTGTGACATCATTATGTTGGGGACATCGCCCAGGGCCATTGATGTTGGCGGCAGGGCTTCCCCCTGGCAGCCAGCTGACCAGTGGCAGGCAGGAGCTCATGAAACTGGGGTATTTCCCACTCCCACCTGGGGACTGGGAACCCTAGCAACTGAAGCAAAACTCAATGAAGACCAAGGAAGGCATTTTTGAGCTTTTTTGTACTTTTCTGATTTCTGTGTTAAATGTGGAGTTGCCAACCTCCAGGTGGGGCCCAGAGATCTCCCAGAATTATAGCTAATCTCTAGACTACTGGGATCAGTTCCCCGGGGGGGGGGGTTGATTTGGAGGGTGGACTTAGCATTATACCCCACTGAGGTCCCTCCCCTCCCTAAACCCCACCTCCCCTAGGCTCCACCCCCGGATCACTGGGAATATTCCAACCTGGAGTAGGCAACCCTACAAAGAAATACAAAGTGTCACATATATTTCAAGCCTAAGTAGTTGTGGATTGCTAACATTCAAGTCAATGAAAATATAGGAATCATGTTTCTAAAAAGAATCTAGTTTGTTTGTGGCCCACAAAACCAGTTGGTTGCCAGTACCATGTGCTCTTTACCTCCTCCCCTTGCACACAGAGCCCAGCTGAAGATTTCCTGGTTTCAGAAGTCTTCAGTCTCATTCCAGTTTGTTGTGGCATCTGAATGCAGACAATGCAACAGGATGGAGTTTGTTTCCCCCCCAGTAATTGCATTTATTTAATTAAAAAAATTATATACCACCTCTTCAGAGACCTACACTCAAGGCAGCATACAGCTGATAGTCCAACACCGTTAAAATACACCCATTAGAAACAAAATCAGTAAAACATAAGCATTAAAAAGGCCATGAAGTGAGGATTCTGACACATGAACTCCAGTTTTCTCGTAATGTCTGAATGAACCCCAAGATAAATTCAAGATGCAATACTAAGTCAAATCTAGTGAACCAAATGAACTATTTAGTGCAGGAATGTTCAAATGTTCCTTGGGCCTAAGCTAGTTGATTACCACATTTCATTTCTGAGGACTTCCCATACATAGTTACTTACAATCAACTTGAATCCATTCAAACAAGCATCTAGCTGCAAGGAGAGGTTGTGCTCATGGTCTGTGATTACATCAGCAGCATCACTGGGAGGTTCAGTACGTTGGACCTCAGATCTCTTCCTCACCATAGTAGGAAAAAGAGTCAGAAATGCCCCAGCCAGTGTTAGTTGAAGTCTCTTCCAAGACCCCTTCTTCTTCATCATCATCATCACCACAGACAATACTAGGAACAGAACCTGAAGCTCAGCATGGTATATTAGAGTCCAGAAATTTCAGCAGGCAAAGAATATCCTCTGCAGTACATTTTAAGCTAGCTTAATAGTCATTCCCTCTCACCAGGGAGCTGCAGTTTTGCAAGAGTGACTAGGGATCTCTAACAGAATTCTCAGCAAACCTCACCAAACTGAAATTCCCAGGATTCTATTAACTGGTTTAACATTAGCACTGAAGTAAAACAGCAAACCGTGTTTCGTGAAACTTTTCATCTACTCTAAAAAAAGTATCTCTGCTCTTTTTGCCAGCCTTTTTTAGTAGTAGAGGCACTTGAACTGGCAAAAATATTTATTCCCCAAACCACTTCGAAACAGGTCCGTAGCTAACATGGGGCCCACGGGGCCCGGCCCCCTTGTGTTTCTTCTGGGCCCCCTCCCTCCAGGGCTGCCCCCAAAGTGCTCCAACTTATCAACTGCACTGTACTTCCATTTAATTAGCTGGCGGGGGGGCCCACGGGGCCCGGCCCCCTTGTGTTTCTTCTGGGCCCCCTCCCTCCAGGGCTGCCCCCAAAGTGCTCCAACTTACCACCTGCACTGTACTTCCATTTAATTAGCTAGGGGGGCCCCAAGGCCCCCTCCCAAAGAATTCCCTAGCTACAGGGCTGCTTCGAAAGGAATTATTTGCATTGCAATCCTCTCTTTTGATGTGTTTTGTCTAGAAGGAGAGGGAGAAGGATGAAGGTCTTGCGGTAGTTCTGTCCCCTTGTAGTGACAATTGCCACTTTTAAAGAAAGAACCCAATCAGTACTGATGGCTTCCTCCAAAGAACAGATTGTGCCTTTCATTTGTTTGAAAAGTGGTTTTTCTAGATCAATCTCTCTCTCTCTCTCTCTCTCTCTCTCTCTCTCTCTCTCTCTCTCCCCCCCTTTTCGAAGCTTTGCCCCATCTGCTCCAGAAATGGCAGATTTGTGGCCGAAAATCTAACCACATGGAAAATCCAGCATAGAACTAGAGAAAGTGTAAATCAGGGCTTTCAAGCCCTTGGTTGGAGAATCCTCCACCCCCATTGCCCAATCCTGCTCAGAATTATTATTATTTTTTAAAACTGTGACACCCGCTGCAGCATCCTGATCTGAACTGGGCACTGCACCCATGAAAACTGGAAAAAAACCGCAAGTGAATCTGACACAGGCTGAGGACACCAGACCCCACCTGTGTACTCTGAAATGGCTGAATGGCTATCCAGTCAGACATTGGGGCCACACATGTATATCCCTCTCAGAAGTTACAGTTGTACCAATCAGCTCATTTTGCCAAGATGAGAGAAGCAGGGGAAATAACTCCCACACCACACCTCCTACCTCCTAAACAGCTGATCAATATTATTGCAGCTTTTCCGATTGAGCTTTTTGCCCACACTGCCTTAGAAGACGGATCAGGGGAGGAATTGCCCACATAGCAACCATTTGCATCTATTGATTGCATTTCTCGGTCTCTCTCCATCTCCCCCTCTCCCTTTCAAAATTATAGACTCCTACATATCCAAGGCTTTCAAAGTGGGTTAAGGTGAAACTTGATTGTTAACAATCTAAACAACAACAATAGAACAAGGATAACATCCAAGGCAAAAATTAAGATGATGGTTGTCTAGGTAAAATGCAACTGCTGATTCTAATACAGGAGAACACCCTCTGGAAGAGGCAAGGGTTTTTTCCAGTGTCTTGAAGTTGGAGACAGAAGTAAATAGGCAAAACCTCTGTGGCCAGGGAATGCAGCCACTCTGCTTCATCGAAGGGCACTGGCAAAAGAGCCTCCTTAAACAATCTCAAGAGGATCAAGAATGATATCTATGGGGTGACAGATCCAGGTGGGTAGCTGTGTTGGTCTGAAACAGTAGAACAAAGTTTGAGTCCAGTGGCACCTTTAAGACCAACAAAGTTTTACTCAAGACATGAGCTTTCATATCTTGAATCAAATTTTGTTGGTCTTAAAGGTGCCACTGGACTCAAACGTTCTTATATAAGGGATGAGGCATTCCTATAGATTGGCCAATCCCAGACCATGTAACACTTTAAAACTTGTTCATGTCTACACGCCTCTTTTGGACTGCCCCCATCTCAGTACCAAACTGCCAACCATTTTGAAACAACAGCAAAATGACAGTGGAATCTCTTCATTTTGATAGTCTCTATGAAAAAAGGAAGAAACAATCCTAATTCCGAAAACGTTGTCTACTCCAGTCCATTTAAAAAGCAGGTATGTCTAAATGTGTTCCCCATATTTTGTATTTCTCTCTTTTTTTTTGTTTAAAGTGACACTGTTGCTTTTGCAACATAGGTCTTATTGGATGATATTATTGAATACATGCAAGATTCAGGCAGGTAATCCTGTCGAATTGTAATTGCCATCTTGTGGATCGTGTTATTGGGTTCTACTGGTTTTAATTATAACTATACGGTGATATTTTAACTGCTTTATCCTGTTGTAACCTGCCCTGAGCCTGCTTGCAGGGGAGGGTGGAATAGAAATACGATAAAATAAATAAATGAACCATAATGGAATATAGACGGGAGTCTTGTGGTGCCTTAGAGACTCACAGTTTTATTCTAGCATAAGCTTTTATGGACTAGAGTCCCTTTCTTCAAAAGCTAGGCATGGGGGCTCACCATACCATTATTTTAAGTAGAAAAAAACAAAACTCAAACAACAGGGTCAAGGGGCCGTGAAATGTAAGGAAAATGTGTGGAATGTAATTAGGTAAAATTAAAATCTAATTGGAGAAAATACAGAGACCATTCACCAGTTAAGCTAAGTTAATTGACTCCTGTAAGTGTGTGCGGAGCGAGAGTTTTTGGTAGGATGGGATTTTTTAAAAAATTCACTATAACATTGGCTAAGGCTTGATTCAACTCCGGGGCAGGGGCAGGAGTGTGAAAACTTTGAAGAGATCCCAGTTCTGCTGTTCCAGAGAGGAGTTTCCCTTTGAGATTCATTTCTTGAAGGATGGTGTCCTTGAGATCAGAAACAGAGCGTCAAAGTGTTCTTCAGTTTGTTTCGGAACACTGCAGTTTTTAATGACAGACTGGAGTCCATTTGTATTTTCTCCTCACCTGGGTTGAGCCAGAATTTCGGATATTTAACTTGTGCAAAGGATAGAATAACTAAGAGGGCCCTCAGTAAGTGTTACAGAAGAGACATAAGAGGATAATTAGGAAGAATAGATTCTTTTGAACTATGGTGCTGGAGAAGACTCTTGAGAGTCCCTTGGACTGCAAGAAGATCAAATCAGTCAATCCTAAAAGAAATCAACCCTGACTGTTCCCTGGAAGGCCAGATAATGAAACTGAAGCTCAAATACTTTGGCCACCAAATGAGAAGGGAGCACTCACTGGAGAAGACCCTGATGCTGGGAAAGATTGAAGGTCAAAGAAGACGGGGACGGCAAAGGATGAGATGGTTGGACAGTGTCATTGATGCAACGAACATGAAATTGAGCCAACTTCAGAGGACAGCGGAAGACAGGAGGGCCTGGCGGGAGCTGGTCCATGGGGTTGCGAAGAGTCGGACTCGACTGTGCGACTAAACAACAACAACAACAGTCTTTATAGCTCAGTCTTGGTTCTGTTAATTGCCTTAGGAAAAGCAGTCTCTCTCTCTCTCGCTCTCGCTCTCTCTCTCTCTCTCTCGCTTTCGCTCGCGCTCTCTCTCTCGCTCTCTCTCTCTCTCTCTCTCTCTCTCTCTCTCTCATAATTCATGTACTTCATTTTTATCCTATTCTTCCTACAAAGAGCTCAGAGCTGCTGTGTATGACTGCAGGCAAGTCTCATCCAAGTAGTATGCAGAGCCCAGCCTCCTTAGTTGTAGTAGTAGAACTGCTCCACTACATAAGGCTCCTGATGGCCCAACTAGACATGATGTTTGTCATGGAGACTGGTAGCCATTTGCCAGCTGTCGGTCCCCACGTAGAACCCCCTGTAAAAGTGCCACAGGGCCCTGATTCTGGTCAGGACTGAGGTGCAGGGGGAGGAGGGACTCTTGCCTGCCCCCCATGCAGTTTGATGACCTGAAATGGTACTTGGGGGCATCATTCATCCTCTGACGCCATTTCAGGTGGGGGAAATGGCATGAGGAGGAAAGAGGAACCCCTCCTGCTGCACCATGGTCTCAACCAGATTTAAGGCCCTGCAGGAATGTTAGAGGGAGTTCTTAATGGGAATTGGTAGCTGGCATACGTAAGGTTAAGAAAGGGGGGAGGAGACAACAACAAAACTCAACCCAAAGAAGCAGATAAGGTAGCCAAAACAGTTAAGTAGATGGGCTCCAGAAGTATACAAATAAAGAAACCGAAACTAAAAATGAATTTTATTAATAAATAATACATATTAATAATATCCTAGCTGGCATAGCCCTGACCTGGAGAGCCCCTGCTCGCCCAGTCTCATCAGATCCTGGAAGCTAAGCAGGGTCAGGCCTAGTCAGTATCTGGATGGGAGACCTCCAAGGAATACTATGGTTGCTATGCAGAGGCAGGCAATACCAAACCACCTCTGAATATCTCTTGCCTTGAAAACCCCATGGGATTGTCGTAAGTCAGCTGTGACTTGACAACAAAAGGGAAAAAATCTGGCACAGGGCTGCCAGTCCCCATGGGGAACAGATGCCAAACATCCTGTCTCCTTCAGCCTCTAGAGACTCTGTCTCCTCTGGGAAGGCAGTAAGCCCATGCCAGTTGGGCATTAGATCAGCACAGGCTAGAATACTGCACTTGTGGAATGTGAGGATCAGAAAAGCAGAAACTTCACTAACTTCTGATCTCTGGAATCGGAGCCATCTGCATGCAATCAGGAATTCATACAACAGCGAATTCATATGAGCACATTCACATTTGCCCCTGGAATTGAGGGCAACACGGCTGAAAAAAGATGCTGTACCTTCACCAGCTGCTCCAGTCCATTACTTTCTCTGAATGGACTCGACAAAGCCAACTTGCTGACTGCATAAGGGCATCATATGAATTGAATTTTGCAAATTGCGTTGGCTGAACCCGTGGAAGCTAGTGGCAATAAAGTGTATCTGGTTTTAATTAAATTTGCCCCTAAACGTCTGCCTGGATCCAAATTGCTTCCTCAGCTTCATCCAAAAGCCATTCAGAATAGCACCGGGCCCCTTTGACAAATTGTTAGTTTAATGATTACAAGCACTATCCTGATTGCCTGGCTGCAGATCTTGAGAGCCTCACCTCTTCACCAGCCCCTTGTTTCTGTTCCTCCCGGAGGCAGCATGCTCATTATTCATCTGCTGTGTCCGCTGTGAGTGGAAGGGATGTCTCTCTCTGTGTATCCTTGCAGAGTTGGCTTACCGCTGTGGAGCGGTTATTCCTGCTCCTCCCCAGCTGGAAACCTTAGATGCAGATCAGTAGTGTTATCCCCATATTATACATGGGAGAGCAGAGAATGAAATCAAGTAGCTTTGCCTAGGCCACTTAATGAAAGGCTGAGTACAGAGGGAAATTAATAGCAAGCTGGGGGGGCATGAGGAATTCCAGGCCTCATCAGGGCACCTGTGAAGGACTTTTTCCCCTTTCTTTGGGAAGTTGTGTTTATCTTCATTCCTGAGAAGACCACCCCCCAACCAGGTGTAAAGAGGCCTCCCTTGTCCCTGGGTATCCCTGTTGTGCTGCATTCTTCATCCACATGGAAAGCAGCTACTATTAAATATAGTGATACGTGGCATCTGTATAGCTCCTTGAGTATTCTAAGCCCATCACTTACATTATCTTACTGTAAAACTTGCAACAGTCACATAAGCCCTGGTTTATACCATGTAGGACAATGAGTTGGTAGAATCCCAGAGTGGCTGCAACCCTGCAGAACACAGCTGTTGGATTCCAGTTTCGAATGCTCCTTCACACGTTCGCAGACATGCATAAAAGCTCTTTATGCAACCGGAAAACTAGCACCACATGACTCTCTGATTGTCCATCCATATTCTTATGTGGTGCAATCCATTGTACCACCTCAAGCTTTGTAGCACCTCATTCCTACCTCCTTCTTTTGCATGCATAATTAAGTCCTGAGAGTGATCTCTATACACAGTGAAGGATCAAGAGAGGCCAGCAATTACAATGCTGGGATCCAGGAGAACTTCACAGCCCACTCTGTCAAGAAGCTTGCTGGAGGGGGGGGACTTGGCCAGTCATGCTCTCTCAACCTAGCCTACCTTGTGAATACTGTAGTGTATTTATTGTATCTCTTACAATAGAACAGTCTGTTTCCCCCCTGTGATATTTGTGTGCGCTGGTTTAGTCCCTGCTGACATGAACAGCATTTAATAAATTTAATGTGTCATTTCAGGCTCTGCTGTGAAAACGATATATGCATAGAGATAACAAACAGAGGTAAGGGCATATATTCAATTTGTCTGGCAAATGGAAATTCCTTTATCACTCCCATTAGGTTTATTCATCAAACTTACTTTCTACCCTTATTTAATGTCTGTTTAATATTTGGAACTGTGACACTCAGTGTTCCCTCTAAGCTGAGTTAGAGTGAGCTAAGCTCACAGTTTTTTAGCCTTTGGCTCACTCGTTTTTGTCTTCGCTCAGGAAGGATGGCGCCAGAGCAGACTAATTTATGCAGTAACCAAAATGCTCGCTCACAACTTTAATGCCGGTAGCTCACAAAGCAGAATTTTTGCTCACAAGACTCCACAGCTTAGAGGGAACATTGGTGACACCCCTTCTCCACTCACACAGGGTGCCTGTCTCCCTCTACAAATCTCTCTTATTCAGGTTATGAGTTATAAGTAGGTCAGAATGTTATACTCGTCACATTTCTTGTCTCTTTTAAAATATACAGAGAGTTATGACCATCTTACACCTTAGGTCATGCGGCACCCGGGTCTCAAACTGCTGAACTACTGACCTTCCACAGCCTGCAGTTCAGCGTCTTAACCACTTGAGCCACCGCAGCTCCGTCTACTGAGTTAGAAAAGCTTTTTTACCTCAGCTCCTAAGCTGTCAGCTTCTGTGTAACTAACTCTTAACTGACATTTTTCAACTGCTGTTTTTCAGGTCCCCCTCTCTCAGCATTCTGTCAGCCCTCATTGGTTGCTCAGAGTAGGGTTGCCAGATCCAGGTTTGGAAAGTCCTGGAGATTTGGGGAAGGAGCCTCAGAGAACAGTGATCTCAGTGGGGCACAATATCATAGAGTCCCCCCCTCCAAATCATTCAGTTTCTCCAGGGGAACTGATCTCTGTAGTCCAGAGATGAAGTATAATCCTGGGGGATTCCCAGGTTCCACCTGGAGGCTGGCATCCCTATCTTAGAGAGAGACAGAACCTAACCTGTTCATCACAGAACCTTAGAAGTAGTCACTTTCTAAACC